GTGACTGAATATTTCATGTTCCTTCTTATGGAAAAGTTTTTCTCATGATCTGAGTGATTGGCTACATCTGCCTGTAGTGGAAACTAGAACTTAATTTGGCATCTGAACACCCAGAGTGCTGAGTCCTGTAATCTTCAGAATTTAATCAGAAAATGTGTTTTGAAACATTTGGTCTATGGGTAGGCAGGGCAATTTTCCTGGATCACTGTGAGAATTCTGAAATTTACTTCCTTTTATTTTCTTAAAATAACTATATTTGTAATTTGCTCCCCCTTTCTGAAATGTTTGTGCTTCTGTCCTCCTTATAACCATGGACATGAGTAGCACTTTTCCTTCTCTCTCTCTCTCTCTCTCTTTTTTTTTTAACAGGCAGAGTGGACAGTGAGAGAGAGAGATAGAGAGAAAGGTCTTTCTTTGCCATTGGTTCACCCTCCAATGGCCACCACGGCCAGTGCACCGTGCTGATCCAAAGGCAGGAGGCAGGTGCTTCTCCTGGTCTCCCATGCGGGTGCAGGGCCCAAGCACCTGGGCCATCCTCCACTGCACTCCCGGGCCATTGCAGAGGGCTGGCCTGGAAGAGGGGCAACCGGGACAGAATCCAGCACCCCGACCGGGACTAGAACCTTGTGTGCCAGCGCCACAAGGAGGAGGATTAGCCTATTGAGACGCTACGCCATTTATTTTCCTTCTCTTTATGATGTTAGAAGAGCAGTGGGACATTGTAGCTCTCTCCCCTGGCAGCACATCTTCCTCAGTACGTCTCTTTGAATTAGACCCTGGGTTAACTTGGCTGCACAAAAGGCATATATCTAAACCCAGTGTACCTAATGAATGAAATTCATCATGAAATCAATATGCCTTGTAAACCTCTCATCTCTTGTTTTGAAATGTGTTGTGAATGTGTCTTTTATGTCAGTATCTGTAAGCTGGAGATTTGCCACTTAAGGCAGAAGGCTGCTGAGGGACAGCACAACTGTAGCTTTGCTCTCTTACTTTAGTGTGGCTACTCTCTCACCCTTTCTCTTTATTTTATTAAGATTTAAAAATTTTATTTTAAAGGCAGAGTTACAGAGAAAGAGGCAGAGACAGAAGGATGGGGATCTTGCATCTGCTGGTTCACTCAAGGGACTGCAATGAATAATGCTGGCCCAGCCTGGAAGTCCAACCCAGTGTCCCATGTTGGTGCAAGGACCCAAGTACTTGTGCCATCTGTTTCTGCTTCCCTAGTTGCATTAGCAGGGAGCTGGATCAGAAGTGGAACAGCTGTGACTCAAACTGGCACTCATGAGGCTGGCATTGTGGCACAATGGGGAAAGCCACCATCTGCAATGCCAGCTTCCCAGATGAGCAGCCGTTCATGTCCCAGTTGCTCCACTTCTAACTTAGCTCCCTGCTGATGGTTTGGGAAAAGCAGCAGCGGATGACTCAAGTGTTGGGGCCATTGTAACCCATGTGGGAGACCCAGATGAAGTGCCTGGCTCCTGGTTTCTGTGTGCTTCAGCCCTGGCCATGGCAGCCATCTCAGATGGAAGATTTCTCTCTTTTTAGCATTTATTTATTTATTTGCAAGGCAGAGATAGAGAAAGGGAGAGAATGAGAAAGAGATTTTCCATCTGCTGGTCTACTTCCTAGATGGCTGCAATGGCCAAGACTGGGCCAGGCCCAAGCCAGGCACCAAGAGCTTCATCCAGGTCTCCCACTTGGGTGTCAAGGACCCAGGTATTGGACCATCTTCTACTTTTCCAGGGCCACTAATAGAGAACTGGATTAGAAGTGGAGCAGCCAGGACATGAACTGGTGCCTATACCAGATGCCAGCACTGCAGGCAGCAGCTTTACCTGCTAGTCCACAATGGCATCCCATCTGACTCTCCCTCCTCTCCATAACTCTGACATTTTTTTAAGATTTATTTTATTTATTTGACAGAGTTACTGATAGAGATAGAGACAGATAGAGAGGTCTTCAGTCTGTTGTTTCACTCCCCAAATGGCCACAGTGGCCAAATCTGAGCTGATCTGAAGCCAGGAGCCAGGAGCTTCTTCTGGATCTCCCACATGGATATAGGGGACCACAGACTTGGGCCATACTGTGCCACTTTCCCAAGCACATTAACAGGCAGCTGGATTGGAAGTGGGACAGCCAAGACCCAAACTGGTGACCATATGGGATGCAGGCCAGTGTCTCAACCAGCTGTGCCACAGCACTGGCCCCCAAAACTCTGACTTTCAAATAAATAAATCTTTTTTAAAGGGTGGACACACATATTGGATCCCAGCATTTTATTTGGTGGTGGCTTAATCCACTGTGCCACAAAGCCAGTCCCACCCTTTATCCTGGTGACTTGTGTGTCAAGATCTGGGTAATATCTGCTGAACAACTGTTGGTATTATGTTAGACTCTTCTATTTTATTTTGGTTCTCATTTGTTGAGTTTATTTTGGCTGCCACTTTTGGGTAGCAAGCTGTGATGTCATCAGTGGCTAAAGCTGCCATGTGTTAGGTTGGCACTGATTCTACCTTTCCATTTCTTCAAGTAGAAGTAGAAAATGAAATCCTCTCAAAACTAACATGCTGCAAGTAACAACTGGAAATCAAGCTTCCTTCCTTCTCACCTAACAGACCCAGCTGGTCTCTGTGTTTCTCATTTTAGCCCAAACCTACATGAGATTCCTAGAGCAGAAGGAAGCTTATTCTTCAAGGCAGAATTCATAGATATGGTTATCCATTCACCTCTGAGAATTAAAGCCATCACTCTGCTTTTTGACTGGTTTTCAATTTGTGGTGGTGCCCTCTCTCACAGGAGGATAGATTCCTCAAAGAAGAATACACCTAGGTGGAGAAAACTTCAAGGAGTGGGTTTTCCAAAGTGAAATGGAATTCTGGCCTGGACATCCTTGAGATCATGATCAGCAGAGTGGGGAAATTCTTTGCTATGTCCATTCACATCCTTTCCTTTTTGTTCATTGTATTCCTTCCTTACATAGTGCTCTGTGCTCTCCTTCTGTTGCACACACACAAGGCATGTCTGTGATTGAGGCTGTTTGTGTACCACTGCAGTATCTGGAGTTGCCTTTGTCTCCATCTCTAACCAGAAATTCAGATGCAGAGTGAGGAGGAGACTGCCAGCCTGCCACACAGGGCTTGGGCCCCTTGCTCCTTTACTTTTCTTCAGTGCAGGAGCAGCCTTAAAGAGAGCTGTACTGGGTAGTATTATTTCTTTTGGATTTGAGTGCTTGGATAGCAAAAGAAATACATATTTTTTTTCTTATAGAATGGATTGAGGAGGCACTACATAAAGTCAGCAGCAACTTTCTTGGCTCTTGTTACATGTCAAGATGAGTCAGAATATTTAGGGCCATTTGTTAAATTTTTTAAAAAATTAAAAGTATTTATTTATTTGAAAGGCAGAGTTACAAAGAGAGAAGGAGAGATGTAAATTATTTATCCACTGTTTCACACCCCTAATGGCCACAGAACCTGGGGTTGAAACTGGATTAAAGTCAGGAGCCAGTATCTTCTTCCACATTTCCCATGTGGGAGTAGGAGCATAGGCACCAAACTTTGTAGCTTTCCTAGGCACAGCTGGGACATGAACTCATGCACAATATGGAATACCAGCATCACAGGCAATGGCTTTCCCACTATGCTCTACTGTCTGTTTATTATTATTATTATTATTATTTTTATTTGAAAGAGAATTAGAGAGAAGCAGAGGCAGAAAGAGAGAGGGAGAAAGGCCTTCCATCTTCTGGTTTACTCCCAGATGGCTGCAATGGCTGGAGCTACCCTGAACTGAAGCCAAGAGCCGGGAGACTCTTCCAGTTATCCCACATGGGTACAGGGGCCCAAGGTCTTGGGTCATCTTCTACTGCTTCCCCAGACCTTAGAAGAGAGCTGGATCAGAAATGGAGCAGCTGAGACTCAAAGCAGCACCCACATGGGATGCCAGTAGTGCAGGCAGCAGCTTTCCCTGCTGGGACACAGTACCAGCCCCTCTATCATCTGTTTTATGGAAATATTTAAGGGACAGTAGAAGGCCATTCAGGCCCTTCCTACAATACATTTTGAAATAGTGATTGACAGTCCACAAGACTGCTTCCAAAGGGAGAGAGCTGCAGGGACAGAGAGGCAGTGATATTGAAAGGGTATGAGGAACAAGGGAAGATGGGAAGGCCAGAAGAAATCTTGAAAAGTCTTCCAAAGGATAAAGTAATAGGACACAGGTCATTTGTGCAGGTTTCCATTATAGGGTTTTCCTTTTTTTTTTCTTGTTAATTAGAGATAATTTCTAACATGATTTGTGATATACTGGACTCACTTTTCAGTTTTCTTCTTACAGATAAGATGTGCTTATAAGATGTAGAGGGGCTGGTACTGTGGCTTTGTAGTTTAATCCTCTGCCTGTGGCACTGGCATCCTATATGGGCACCATTCTAGTCCCAGATTCTCCTCTTCTGATCCAGCTCTCTGCTATGACATGGGAAAGTAGTAGAAGATGGCTCAAGTGCTTAGGTCCCTGTACCCAAGGGGGAACAGAGAAGCTCCTGGCTCCTGGTTTCAGATCAGTGCAGCTCCCTCTGTTATAGTCATTTGGGGAATGAACCAGCAGATGGAAGACTTTTATCTCTGTCTCTTCCTCTCACTGTCTATAATTTGAGCTCTCAAATAAATAAAATCTTAAAAAATAAGATGTAGAGAAGTACTGGAATTAAATGCAATAGTACACTCCTAAATATGCAATAGCATTAAATTTTTGTTGAGAAAGGGATGAGCTTGGCTTTATGTGTGTCTTGCTTAGAGCAGAATTTTTGACTGAATTTGAGACAATTAAAAATCAGTTTCATAATTGAAACATTGACCATTTTTACTGCTGCAGCCTCCCCCTCACTCTGTATCCCTATGCAGATAGTCCACATGAGAGTACAATAGAAAGAGAGGCCTGCATATCTGGAGTAATGCAAATAAGCCCTTTGCTTAAACCAGGGGATTGATCGACTGGAGTTCTTTGTGATTCAGTTTGCATTTTTCTGTAGAGTGAAATATAGTGATTTGGGTAAAGTATCTTGTCTTCTAGTAGATGATTCCAATTGGCTTTCTTATCCATCTACCTGGCATCACAGGTGATTCCCAAGACAGGTGTTGCGCTCTATGGAAAAAAAAAGTAGCCTTTTCAGAGTTGATGTATTTCTCCTGGATAATTAGAGAAATATTTTGTAAGAAGCAGTTCATGGAGGATGTGTACTTCCCTAGAAATGAGACAGAAGTGATTCCCTTTCCTTGCCCCTCCCTGAGCTAGTTCCTGAGGCTTATTGATCAGGGCAAGAATGCTAATATTTATAGGCCAATTATGAATGATGCATGTTTGTCTTACACATGAGATGTCGACAGATCTGTTTCTCAAGGCCTTTAAGATAAAATAAGCAAATTTTGCAACAAAAGAGAAGGTTGGCATTGCCTGTTGCCTTGGTCTGGGATCTGTGCATTTATTATACACTTAGTACTCTGACTCCTATTGTGCGCATCTCCTGATGGTTCTTTTTTGGCCATTCCTGTGTCCAGATTCCTTAATGGGTGACAATCTTTGTCCAGACTGCCAGTCTGATAACTCAGCCCAAATTGGAGTTGACTAGTTTGTGTACTCACTTCAGGATTAAGGTGGTCCAAAACTGCCAATGCCCAATGACTGGGCTGCCTTTATGCTCACTCAAGAGATAAGACTCTGGGAACAGGTCCCAAGTGGCTTTGCTTGGTTCTCTTCCCTTGATCTCCTTGGTGACCAGGCTGATTCTCAGATAGACAGGGAACTTGTTGGCTCACAGAAGTCTCCAGATTTCTGTTTTGCACTCATCTGCAAAATATTTGAGTTTTCTCTTGGATCTCAAAAGTCCTGAGTAGGGAGTTTTATTTTGTATTGAGATGTGTCTTTATAAAGACAGGTGTCATTGAAGACTGTGTGTCCTCAGAATCAACTGATCTCATCCAGGCCTGCCTGGAGTTTTGGGATCCTGGCTTCAGGCTGAACATTGCCTGCTGTTGTGAGCATTTGGGTGTGTACCAGAAAATGGAAGAAATCTCTCTCCCTCTCCATCTCCCTCTACCTTTCAAATAAAATGAAAAACAGATAAACATTGGAAAAAGTGTGTTTTGCCTTGTGTCCTAAGGAAAAAGTAATTACTGTTGTTATAGCTAGAACTCATTTGTACACTTCACAAATACTCACAAATCTCAGGTTAAAGGCTTGGTGGTCACTACTGGCTGGGCTGCCTACTCAGCTCCCATTCTGTAATGCATCCCCTTCCATCATCTGCAGTTCACTTTGGGTGCTCATAAAACACCAAACTGCCTCTTGACTTTGCATCCCTATGTTCTTTATACATAGCTGGGCCACAATCTCATTTTCTTTAGCAGCATGCTAATTTTTATGAGTACTTCATAGGCAAAGAATAATGGGGACATTGATTTTTTCTGAGCTTTTGCCCTAAGTGGTTTATTTTATGAAGCTGATTCTGGGTACTGTATAGAATTTTGTTGGATCAGAAGTTGGGGTGCAGAGGTTGACATTAGAGAAATAGGGCTAGCACTGTCACTTCCACCCTGCAACCCATGCCTGCCTTTGGATTCTGCTTTCATAGAGTGTTGGAATGAGGCAGTAGTGATGCAATAAAGGAATGAACTTTCAATTGTTAAACATTTTTATTTTTATTAATACAAAGAGAACAGATTGTATAAGATTGTAATTCCAGAAGAACATTACCATACTTTTCTATTTCCCCCTCCTTTCTTCCTTTCTCTTTTTAAGGATTTAATAAGCTGGCTTTTTTTCCCTAACCTAGTCTTTACCCCTTCACCTCCAGCCTTCCTGTCCATTTGCTCCTACTTTACAATCTAGTACTTTAAGATTTTTCCCCCTTCTTTCATGCATGTTTTTGCCTACTCCTACTCCAATTCCAAAGAAGGAAAAATGAATAAAAAACATGAGATAGTGATTCAAAGACAGGAATCCTATCCAGAAATATGGAAAAAAAAGTTACCTCCTTTTTCTTTTTATTAATAATTTATTTATTGACTTACCTTTCTGGAAGAGGCAGCTGGAAGTTCTCTGAGGTCTTTCCTTAGAATGTGAGGAGAGCCAGACATATTGGATAGACTCTTTACAGTCTGTTTTACTGTGAGAGATGCTGTTCCACTTGCCTGTGGCAGAAAAAAATGTGATTTCAATGATTTTTTTTCTGTATTACTACTAATTTTTATGATGAGTCTCATCTTTATCAATGGATAGAGACCTGTCAAATTTGCCATGAGCAAAAAATTTCACAGACACAACTGCTTCCAGAGGAGATGCATGCCTCTTCATTTCCCACATGGCCTTCCCCTGAGATCTCCAGGTGGCTTTCCTTAGTCTCCTGGAAGCAAAGAGAAGATTCCAACCACAGAAAAAGCTCACTATGACTGTGATGTTGTTTCTTGGAAGTTCCTGTCCAAAAAGTAATCATTTAAGAACATCAGGGGCATTTCATTAGTTTCACAGGAATTTCTTCTTCCTGGCTTCAGTGGAGAGGAAAAATAACCACAGTTGAAGCATGATTCTAGGGAAAGCACAATTATTTATCTGCATAACAAAAATCCTCAATTTTTTCTGCACATTGTTAGTCTTACATGGGTTAGAAAAAAATGCCATTTAATGTCTTAGAACTCTCTAATGTTAAAAAGTACAAGAATTAAAAATTGCTATTATTTTATGCTCTTATAAAGCTGCAAAAGCATTAACATTGTGCATTTCTGGGTGATTTGGAAACTAAATTCGAAATCAACTACATTGACTGATTTTGCAGAGTAGGAAGAAAATAATTGGTTTATTAATTATTTATAAAGAGAGACTATGAAAGAAGCTATTCATTGGTACCAATTGTCTAAGCTTTAGTGTATATGAAACTATGATTTATTTATTTATTTGTTTGTTTATTTATTTATATTTGACAGAGTTATAGACAGTGAGAGAGAGACAGAGAGAAAGGTCTTCCTTTCCGTTGGTTCACTCCCCTAATGGCCACTACAGACAGTGCTCTGCCTATCCGAAGCCCAGAGTCAAGTACTTCCTCCAGTTATCCTGTGCAGGTGCAGAGAACCAAGCACTTGGGCCACACTCCACTGCCCTCCTGGGCCCAGGAAGAGGAGCAAATGGGACTAGTACCCGGCACCCCAACTGGGACTAGAACCCAGGGTGCTGGTGCCACAAGTGAAGGATTAGCCAAGTGAGCCATGGCATCAGCCTATGATTTATTTTATTTTATGAGCTATGTCCACTTGAAGTTGTGAAAGGAAACCTACAATGGTGGTTGTAATTCACTTTAACAGACTTTTTGAAGGATTGTATTTATTTCTTTGAGAGGCAGAGTTACAGACAGTGAGAGGTAGAGACAGAGAGAAAGGTCTTCCATCCATTGGTTCACTCCCCAAATTGCCACAACAGCCAGAGTTGCTTGATCCAATGCCAGGAGCCAGGTGCTTCTTCCTAGTTGCCCATGGGTGCAGGGGCCCAAGCACTTGGGCCACATTTTACTGCTTTCCCAGGCCATAGCAGAGAGCTGTAGTGAAAGAGGAGTAGCTGGGACCAGAACCAGTGCCTATATGGGATGCCAGTGCCACAGGTGGAAGATTAACCTACTGTGCCATCGCACTGGCCCCACAATTCTCTTGAAAACAGAAACATTTATTCCTGAGTCTTTTGATGAGTTAGGCCAATGAAGTCCTGACAGGGCACATTTGTCTCTAGAATTAGAGGTGTGCTCATCATTCTCATACTGTGTTCTGTTGCTGTTCAGCCTGTGACAGTGACATGGAAATAAAAAAACCAGATATTCAGCATGTGGTTACCCGACAAGGAGTCTTATCTTGTCTGCATCTGAATAATTTTGATAGCCAGGTGTTTTTAAGTTGCTAAATATTCTCCTAATTTGTATTTATTTAAAGACTATTAACTCAGTATGACAATTTTTGTTATAATAATTTGATTGCTGATAAGGAATTTACAAATTCATACCTTAACTAGAAGTTTTACTTTGTAACAATCACAGACTAGCAGAAGTCATAAACCATTAACCCTCATTTTTCTTTTTTTTTTTTTAATTAATTAATTAATTTTTTTTTTTTGACAGGCAGAGTGGACAGTGAGAGAGAGACAGAGAGAAAGGTCTTCCTTTTGCCATTGGTTCACCCTCCAATGGCCGCCACGGCCAGCGTGCTGCTGCCGGCGCACCGCACTGATCTGATGGCAGGAGCCAGGAGCCAGGTGCTTTTCCTGGTCTCCCATGGAGTGCAGGGCCCAAGCACCTGGGCCATCCTCCACTGCACTCCCTGGCCACAGCAGAGAGCTGGCCTGGAAGAGGGGCAACCGGGACAGAATCCGGCGCCCCGACCGGGGCTAGAACCCGGTGTGCCGGCGCCGCTAGGCAGAGGATTAGCGTAGTGAGCCACAGCGCCGGCTAACCCTCATTTTTCTAAAATAAGAGGTTGTAAGTGATATGAATATATAAAGAATATATTTTTTAAGATTTTATTTATTTATTTGAGAGGTAGAATTACAGACAGAGAGAGGGAGAGACAGAGAGAAAGGTCTTCCTTCCATTGGTTCACTCCCCAGATGGCTGCAATGGCCAGATCTACATGGATCTAAAGCCAGGAGCCAGCTGCTTCTTCCTGGTCTCCTATGCAGGTGCAGGGGCCCAAGCACTTGGCCATCTTCCACTGCTTTCCCAGGCCATAGCAGAGAACTGGACTGGAAGAGGGGCAGCCGGGACTAGAACCAGCACCCATACAGGATGCCGGCACCACAAGCAGAGGATTAACCTCTGCACCACATCACCAGCCCCAAGTACGTGAAGAATTTAGAACAGAAAATCTACCAACCTCATGGAGTTTATCTCCCTTTCAAAACTTTTAATAACCTTTGGGATGGAGAATGCTAACTTAAGGTACTGTAATTAAATTCACACAAACAAAAGATGTTTTAGTATGTTTTACTTCATTATTTAAGTTAGATACTGTTAGGAAATTCTAGATTATTTTGTGAGTAAATTGTAATTTCTTTTCACAAGTGTATTTGAGTAGAAACACAAGCTTTTATAATCAATTATTTATGTTTGAAACATATGCTTATGTATGTTTTGTATTAAAATAACAGCATTTTATGAAGTTTAGATACATCTTGTTCAATACAAGCCTATACTTTTTTTAAGTTTTATTTAAAAAGAATCTTTGTATTTATTTTTTTAATACAGCAAACTCAGGTGATACCTTAAGTCCATAATTTCCCATAAAATTGATTAACTTAATAATTGAGTATCTTAAGTCTTATAAATCTTCTGAATCATTCATAGTTATGCACTCAATGGAATGAACTCCTCAGCAGCTGAGAAGAATCTTAACTTAAAAGCACCAACTCTTCAGGCTAGGCTAGGCTATTTTTCATTCTCTAAGACATGCAGTCAGACTGCTGATGCAGCAAATACCAATTCACCTTAAGCTTCAATGTATAAGAAAAAGCATGTGGGAAACCCACATTATTAATATTAAGTCTGAAAGCATTTCTACCTCTTTACTGAATGACTTTCCCTTCTGTCAATGTTAAACTCTAATGAATAAAAATTGTGTATTGAACATAAGTTTTTCAGGTTAATCTAGCACTTTAGGACATTTGTTTTTGTTTTATAAGCCTTAAGGAAAACAAAAAGGTAATCTCTAATCTAGACAATTCTGGAATCTTTCATTAGATTTAGAATTTTACAGCAAAGTAATATGATCTGTCCAAATAGTATGCCTTTTAAAAAATTCTCTTCATGTATGTAAATTAATAAAACTTATTTCCAATATATATTTTCTGTATTTTCATTTGCTGAAGCAGGGTTCAAAGGGTGTTTTTAGGATTTTGCCAACATCAGCCCTATGTACCCATAAATTATTGGAGCCATTAAATGGACAATAAAAACTGGTTGAAGCTACCGATAAATGCTTCAAAAGGAATCTGAATCTTTTCCAGGTGTCTTTTTAGGTCATTAAGGTGATTGATAACATCCCAAAACCCTGTAGTTTGGAACATACACCCTAGCGGTTTGGACCCTACACTTTAGCCAATCATTTTAAAAAGCATCAATCCCAAAGCCATCTAACCACCTTTACTAGGTCTATTCCCACCACTGGATTTACTAATCAATTTTAAGAGACGTTCTTTAAATTCTCGCAGAATGAGATGAGTTGCTGAATGGTGCTATAATATGTAGAATGTCTCTGAAAACTCTATATAAACCCTACAAAGTATACGGGATGGGTCCTCATCAGATGACCACTGTGATGATTGGAGGAGTGGACCCTAGATCAAGCTAGAACAATAAACCTCTTTGCTTTTGCATCATTGAAGTCTGTCTTTGGGATAATTGAGTCCCATCCAAGTTCGGTCTAACAGAAAGAGAGTCGGCCTCTGCCATCCGCTATTTCACTCCCTAAATGGCCGCAATGGCCAGAGCTGTGCTGATCTGAAGCCAGGAGCCATGAAATTCTTCCAGGTTTCCCACATGTGTGCAAGGGACCTAAGGACTTGGGCCATCTTTTTACTTTTTTCCCAGGCCAGAGCAGAGAGCTGAGTCAGAAGTGGAGCAGCTGGGACTTGAACTGGAGCACATATGGTGTGTCAGCACTGTAGGCCAGGGCTTTAACCTGCTTCACCACAGTGCCAACCCCCCAACTATTTATTAAGAGCTCTTAACTGACCTGTTAATTTGATAAAAATTTATGACACTCAGGAGTTTTATTATCAATCTTCATTCTAGTTTGCATGGCATATAAATGACCCCCTTGGTGAAATACATAATGATCAAACAATGGCTGACAACAAACACCCCTCAGATCAATTCTTGAGCAACTATTCAGTAATAGGCCACCACAGGGTCCTACTTGTCATGCTCCTGAACCATCAGGTGATGCTGTATGTTCTTTTATTTTTAAATTTTTTTTATTTTTTTATTTTGACAGGTAGAGTTACAGACAGTGAGAGAGAGACAGAGAGAAAGGTCTTCCTTCTGAACATTGTTGGTATTTTGATTGAGATCATGTTGAATCTGTAAATTGCTTTTGAGGGGCTGGCACTGTGGAATAGTAGTTTGAGCCTCTGTCTGCAGCATTGGCATCTCATATGGATGCCA